ACTTTGATATCTGATTCTGAAATTGTAGCAAATGGGTTGAGAGGAAAGCTTGGAAAGCCTGCATATTTGGAAGACTGGATCACCACAATTGCTCCATTATTAGCAGGGGAGTCTGCTTTCAAGGTTACTTTTGATTGGGATGAGGAGATTGGGGAACCTGGAGCATTCTTGATAGTAAATAATCATCACAGTGAGTTCTACCTTAGAACTGTCACACTAGAAGATGTTCCTGGCTATGGCAGGTTCCATTTTGTATGCAACTCTTGGGTTTATCCTGCTAAACATTACAAAAAAGATCGTGTTTTCTTCGCAAACAAGGTGAGTGAAGTCTACCCTTTTTGAGTAATTAAGTAATCAGAAGAGTGAATTCTCAATTCTGTTTGTTTAATCATTTATACATGTTTATGTTCTTTTCTCATTCAGACTTACCTTCCGCATGAGATGCCAATACCCTTACGGAAGTATAGAGATGAAGAGTTCTTGGTCTTGAGGGGAGATGGGAAAGGAGAACTCCAAGAATGGGACCGTGTATATGACTATGCTTATTACAATGACCTGGGGGATCCTGACAAGGGTCCGGATTATGCCCGTCCTGTCCTTGGAGGGTCTGCTGAGTATCCTTATCCACGGAGGGGAAGAACAAGCCGTCCTCCAACAAAATCAGGTTGGACATTGCAAGTTATCTCTAATTAATTCATGATATACGGGAAGTATGTTATTACACTTCTTACTTATATTGTTCTGTTTTTACATATACAGATCCTAATAGTGAATCTAGGTTGCCACTTTTAATGAGCTTAAACATTTATGTTCCAAGAGATGAGCGGTTTGGTCACTTGAAGATGTCAGATTTTCTTGCATATGCATTGAAATCAATTGCTCAGTTCATCAGACCCGAGCTAGAAGCTCTGTGTGGCAGCACTCATAATGAGTTTGATTCGTTTGAAGATGTAATGAAAATCTATGAAGGAGGAATCAAGCTTCCTAAGGGCCCTCTATTTGATAATATTCTGAAGAATATCCCCTTGGAGTTGCTGAAGGAAGCATTACCTGTTGACGGTGAAGGACTATTCAGATATCCACTGCCCCAAGTGATTAAAGGTAGCTTATATATGTATTAACAATGGCTTTTTTTAAGAAAACAATGTATATCAGCGTGTAGATATGTCGTTTTCCCCCATATAATTACTCGGATATGTTACCAACTTTGAGCAGAAGATATGTCCGCATGGAGAACCGATGATGAATTTGCTAGAGAAATGCTTGCGGGGGTTAACCCTCTTGTCATTCGTCTTCTAGAAGTAAGCCTATGCCTAAACATCACTTTTTCTTTTTACCATTGATTCTTTTGAAACT